TGAATTCGGATTCATTAGTAACTTTTAGGAATTCCCAAAAGAAGACTCGCTTTGATAAGTGGCAACACCGATCGTTAGTTAGATTCGAATCCCGATGACATCTAACAAGTCTCTCCCTTCGCATTGTTGTGCCGATTTGTTTTAAATGACAATAAGTAACTTGGCAGCCTTGGTACTAGCAAAAGTCAGCCCTCGTAGTCACTTCCCATTTAGAGCCATCATATTATCTTAACTTTAATTGATGAGGCTCGGAGTTTCCATTACAAATGAGTTATCGTAATTTAAAGAAAAATATCAAAGCTTTTATTATTCAAAATGAGGAGTATGAGAGCTCTCATTAATTTATGATACATCCTTCTTTTACATAACAAAAGGAAGAAAACTCATACAATAGGAAATGAAATAAAACAAGAAAAGCGATTTGCTCGGTAGTTCGCTCGGACTCCAAAGACCTTCCCTCTTCTAGCCATTTCAAACGGAAAATAGTCACATCTTCTCATGTAGTCGACCAATGCTTCATTATGATTTTTCACTCTACGCTCAATGATGGCCAAGTGTAGCTCTTAAAGTGCTATAGCTTCCTTAGAGACTTCCTTTTCTTAATTATCTAGCACGAGCTAAGCTTTTACCTCGTTCGCACCGACCCGAGCTAAGTGATTGTGTATGGTGGCCCAATATGAGGATAGCCTAATTAACTCCCCCTCTAGATGTCGATTCTCTTTTTTGAGTGTTGTGATCTAACTTTGTGCCTCTCCTATTTGCTTCATTGGAACTCCGTCGACAGTTACATTTAATGTCTAGTGCCGGTTGCCACTTCTCATTACCTTCTCTAACCCTTCATATTTTCAACCATAAATCTCTTAACTCCTCGCTCTACTCACTTGTCTTATGATTATAACCTATCCATCTCAACACATTTGGCCTCTAGTTCTACTTGACCTTGATGATAGTTCAATTTTCGGTATTCCTCTTTGACGCCTATACTTTGCCAAGCCTCCGGATCTAGCTCCAAGTCTAGTATCTTTTCTTTATCTTTTTTCTCATCCTTTTTTCCTTAGCCGGATCACATGCTAGTTTCGATTCTCCACCTCGAGCCTCTCAATCTCTTTCATGAGGTCCGGATGGTCGGTGGGGACTAATTCGTGAAGTCCTCCATTCTCTTTTTCTTCCATTTAGACCGGCTAGGCACAACACTCGAATCTTATGGTGTTACTAGCTCACTCCCTCAACAGTCGGTTTGGACATCCATTTCCCACGGCTTGGTTAGAGTCAACTAATTGTTTACGGTCTTTCACCCCGTTTGCTTGCTATGTGAGGTATCTCTTGATCACTCGCTAATTCAAGATCAACTCGTTCCTCCTCTCACTACTCTCGGAGTTAACCAATCCTATAGAGCCTATTCGAGAAACTCGGTAGTGGCATCCTTCTCAAGCTTTCCTTCAAACCCGTTTAGGCTCACGGCTCTAGGGACGACTCGTTCATAGCCCAATTGCCTTGATACCATGGAGGGAGCATAACAAGTATACCTAGTTGCTCTTATTAGAGGAACCCAAGGTCATGCTCCATAGTAAGCTATATATGCCCTTCGATTCATCCAAACTGTCTTCCACGAAAGCCCCCGATCGACAAGCTCAAAAATGATGAAAATCACTCTCGTTCGGACTTGTTTTTCTATTTGTTGGCTAGGAACTCTTTCAATGATTCTTGATCGATCCACCGGTATGTCTTGAAAATCAATTTATAGGCTTCGAAATGGCTAATTACCCATACAAAAAGCAGTCGAACATAATATTTCATACTTCTTTTTCCAAACCTCCTACGGTGACTCAATGAGGAGAAGGTTTCATCTAGAATGGCAGGTGATAGGATTTATGGAGTGTTTCTCCACCTCTATGAAGACATTAGATGCATCTAGACTAATTAAACCGACTGTTGAGGGAAAAAACATTAACCCAAAGATCATAAGTGCTAGAATCTTGATCCGTTTAAAGGTAGCTCTTGGGTCCTTCGGCTTTTACTTGAACACATCCAACCGGCTCTCAAAGTGCCATCCTTCGACGTTCCCTTTAGCTTTACCATGAGTTATGCTTATGTCTAGCCAATCCTCCACCCTTTTATCGAGCATCCGATCTTCTTCGATACAAATATACCCAATGTAGAGTGCTCGGCATGTTTAGAAACTAATGATACTCCTCCAAGGTCGGGGTCATGTCTAGTCCCCATATGGTGAAACATCCGTATGAAGGGTCCCAAGACGGGCCAAGGCCTCGAGAGCGAGCTTCGAACCGGCACTTCTAGCAACACTGCGAGATTCCCATATTTAGCTCGAAACCCGTACCGGTCATCGGGGCTCGGCATCTTCCAACAATCAAGCGGCTTTTAGGTGTCATTGATCACCGACCGAAAGTGTGTGATCTCCTTTATGGTTGCTTTGAAATTCTAATCCTAGGCAATCTCCCTCCGTTTGTTGCAAAGCCTCGAATTTTTGTTGAATTCATCCACCAAGTGAGTTTTGATCCGAGTTCTCTTGTCACCCATCCCGAAATATCACGACCAAATTGCTTGGTCAAGGTTTCGACATATCCAGCTTGCCTAGTGAATTTATACAGGAAAGTTGGTCTTAGGATCCGGTTCTAGCCATTATATGATTGAGTAAGCTCTATCTAAGTCTCAAATGGTCCCTTTTGGCCTAGGAGAACCGAGGTCGACCAAGTGCGAAGCTAATAATCGTGGAGACCATCGAATACCTATCACGACAAGTGACGACTTTTCAAAAGAGTTGAGGTTTTGTGAGTGTTACCCGAGGCAAAACCCATCGGGGTACTAGTAATTCCTCCCTAGATCCTAAGGTGAATGCAAATGTCATAAAATTATGTAATGTAGTATGTGCATGGGCATTATACCATAACCGAGTCTCAAATAAAAACAAAAATAAAATAAGGATACAAACAAAAAAAGAAACATAGAAAATCAAAACAAAACAAAAAAGTAAGAACCAAGAAAAATGAGCAAATAATTAGATAAATGAATAAAATAAAATTCGAGGTGAACAATAAAACAAAAGGCATAAATTTTAACACGATAGGAAAATTAGAAAAATAGGCTAACATGCGTAAGAGAATAGGCCACACCATCGAAATCAAACTCAAAACTGCATGCAAAGCCTAACCCTAAGTCGGCATCCCCACGGAGTCGTCATTCCGTCGCGAGGCGACATCGGACGGTGAGGTAAAATGTAGAGCAAATGATTGGAGTCGCCACCTAGTATTAAGTTACTAGGAAACCTCATGACTCGGTCTATTTAGAGTTTTGGGTAAAGGGTTTATTACGTGTAGGGAAGACCAAAAGTCACCCTACCACATCTTGCCTAAGGCAAACTACATTGCATACAACCTTAATTTGACTTCGATGAAAGTGCCTCATTTGTCGAGTGATTCGAGACTTGGTAGTCGAAGACCTTGTCCTCACTTCATAATAAATTGCTAAAAATGATAAACACGGGGATATGTTGCTAGTGCGGCTCAAATGACATGCATGGGAAACAAAACTTAAAATGGGCAAATAGGCAAACAAACAAGACAGGAAAAATAATAGAATAGGCAACACAAATAAAAATAGGCAAATTGACAAATAGGCAAAAATCGACAAACATGCAAATTGGCAAAATCGATAAAGAGGCAAATAGGCAATTAGGCAAAAATCAACAAATAGGCAAAATAGGCAATCATAGGCAAAAATAGGCAAACTTAGGCAATCATAGGCAAAAATAGGCAAACTTAGGCAATCATAGGCAAAATAGGCTAAAATCAACCATGTAGGCAAAAACGAGCAAAAATCGACGACTTAGGCAAAAGTAAGTAGAAATCGACAATGAAGAACGAAAGCCACGACTTTGGCTAAAATCGATAACGAAAAACGAAAGCAACGATTTTGGCTAAAATCAATAACAAAAAAATAAAATCCACAACTTTGGCTAAAATCGACAACGCAAAACAAAAACCACAACTTTGGCTAAAATCGACAACGAAAAATGAAAGCCATAGCTTTGGCTAAAATCGACAATGCAAAACAAAAGCCATAGCTTTGGCTAAAATCAACAACGCAAAACAAAAGCCACAAACTTTGGCTAAAATCCGCAATGAAAAACAAAGCCACGAGCTTTGGCTAAAATCGATAATGAAAAACGAAAAGTGACGGCTTTGGCTAAAATACGTTAAAATTGTCAAACAAAATGAGCACACATAGGAAAAAATTAACGAGAACTAACAATAGGACCAAAATCGAGAAAACGTAAAAATCGACGAAATTAATCGCTTTGGCGTACATAATCAATCATTTTTTACGAAAACAGAATTACATGACAACATTTCAAACTTACTAAGTTCGACGTGTGTTTTTTTTATATTTTAAAAAAATAACCATACAAGATGCGCTTTTGAAATATGATTCGACTAATGATAAATATTCATACGTTCAAACCGACGCCTCATTCGTCATCATGTCGCCAAAATAAAATAAAATAAATGCACATCATCGCAATTCAAGCAAATTACACATGAATAAATAGATCAAAATAATCACATCATATTCATTCAATTAATTATATGACACATATCAATCATAAAGCAAATTTAATACATGATAAATAAAATAAATAAAATAAAGCAAAAAGAAAGTGAAAAAAGATTAATGTAAAGAAAAATGAGCTAGGTCGATTCGCTTGGCGGTCTCGAAGTCGGATCCAACCTTTTCAACCCCAATGGAGACCGATATTTAGTTAACCGGGGAGGAAAGGTGAGTGGAGCAACGGTTGCTAGCGAAGGTACCGGCGCGCCGGAGCGAAGCGTGCCGAGGCGTTGGCGCAGGCAAGCACGCACCGGCGAGGCGCCGGCGAGGTAGGCACGCGCCGGAAGGCCCCGGTAGAGGGAAGCCTACTAGGGCGTGAGGCCGGGGAGGCGCACGCACACTCGGAGGAGGTGCATGAGGCATTAGCACCGGAGATGTGCGCACCGAGGGAGGCTCGCACGCTAAAGGAGGCACAAGAGGCGTGCACGCCGAAGGAGACGCAAGAGGCGCACGCACTAGAGACGTGTGCTCCGAGGGAGGATAGGAGTGAGGCGGGCTCGCCGTATGTGAGTAAGGTAGGCGCTAGCTCAGGGCGCAGCCGGCGCAAGGGAGGTGAGCTGCCGGAGATGTGTGCTCCGAGGGAGGCATAGGAGCGAGGCGGGCCCGTCGCATGTAAGTAAGGTAGGCGCCGGCTTGGGGTAGCGCCGGCGCAAGGGAGGTGAGCTACCGCCGCTGCTGCAACCGTTATGTACGCGGATGGGAGGTGTCGTTGGTGCCGCAGTGAGGCATGTGTGAGGAGGGAGGAGAGGCCGAATGCCGTAGGCATTCATGGGTCGGTGGAGGCAAGCGACTGTGGCTTCAAGTGAGGGCCGGTAGTTTGGGTGTGGGCGGCTGGTTTTTAGCTAGGGTTTTTTAGCAATAATGAACAAGTAGCTAGTGGCTTTTTAGGAGGAAGGGGCAAGGGAATGGGAGAGAAGGAGAGTAAGAGGAAGGGAGAGAGAGTTAGAGAGTGGGAGAGAAGAAAAAAGAGGTAGGGGAATGAGAGGGGCGAGAGAGGGAGAAATGGATAAAGAGGGAGAGAGGGAGACCGAGGGGAGATAAATAGAGAGAGAAAGTGGTATGGAGAGGGATAGAGAAGGTGAAAGGGAAGGAGGGAGAGAGAGAAAAAGAGGGAGGTAGGGAGAGAGAGCGAGGGAAGAGAGAGGGAGAGAGATTAGGAAAGGGGAGAGAGGCCGAGGGAGAGGGTAAGGGAGGGTGAGGAAAGAAGGAGGAAGGGAGGGAGGGGGATAAAGAAAGAGAGAGAAAAAAAGTGAGAGAGGGAGGGAGGTTGAGGGAGAGAGGAAGATATTAGAAGAGTGGGAGGCATGGGGAGAGAGAGGGAAAAAGGTAGAGAGAGATTGGAGGGAAGAGAAAGGGTGTGAGAGAGATTATATTACAAATATTTACACTTAAAATATTATTAAATAATATTATAATCTAGGTTATATTAATCATAAATTGATATAAATATAAATATAAATATTATTTAATTATATAACAAGATTGTGGCACCCCCTCCCCGCCCACTTGCCAATTACCCAAAAGGAGTGGCTAGATGAGGAGCGCGTCACGCCGACATGACTAATTCGACTTAAACCTTACTACGTACATGCTCGGTACCGTAACAACATATTATATTGTAAGATGTATAATAAAAATTACATTATAAGAATATTCATAGCAAAAGAAGGTACAAAATTTATTTACGAGTGTCGTTTAAATATCTATGATACCCCAACCTAGAAATTATAACCAAAATAAACTATGGTATGTTTGTGTCACGCATGAGCCCTTTTGGAGGATCCGGCAGCATCCTTATCGATACTACGATCATCGCTACCCGTCATAACATGCAAATAACAACGAGGTGACCCAAAGCTCGGTAAGTGGGGTGATGCACGTGAGATGCAATGATGTTCCGTTTCTCATGTTTCCCATCCATTTTATCCGGTACTCTATGTATTAGCAAGTCCATACGTTCTATCTCTCGGTGATTGTGTTATCACCTACTCGCTCTATTACTCTCTCTCATTAATCTCATTATCACCTACTACTCGTAACGAAATTATCTCTTGTTGCAAGCATACGGTTAGATGAATTATCCTTCACTTAATGGTGTTAGTAATAGAGCATGCATATGGTTTCTTGCTATTACCCATTTCATCAAATTCGGTTTCCAAACCGCATCATTGCTTGACTCAATGATTTTTCTCAATTCATTTCCAACCCCAATACACATGATGTACGTGATGTCACTTTTATTGTATTAAACATACAAGGGGTACTAACCCTTAGATTATTAGTTCATTCTCGATAACCAACCCATATAGGATTCGATATCATATATTTTTATGGGTCCAACCCACATAGGGTTTCGGGCATACTTATACCCCTTGTCATCATGAAATATTTTCATAGGTCCAACCCATATAAAATTTTGGGTATTCTCATACTACTCATCACAATATTCATTTCATTAGACTTAACACCCCATTCCACCCTTGACTTGAATAGTTATTAGCATTTGGACCGACTTTTAATATGTTATGGTCGGATTTTCCATTCTAGTTCATCTTTAATACTTTTAGGACGAACTTAGTCCTTAAGTCCAGGTTTCGGTTCCTTTTTATAGGTTTACCTTTCTACTTTCATTTTCTATCTATTTGAGCCTAATTGACCATTTGTTACGTTATTTTGGTGAAAGGAATGGAAACCAAGCAATTATGGAGCAAAAGTGATGAATTTCGAGTGACTAGTGAATTACACGGCCTAAGACACACCGTGTGGAAGGCCGTGTAACCGTCCGACTCAAAGAAAAACACATTTCTTCATTACACGGGCAAAGACACACCCGTGTAGGAGGTCGTGTAACTCGTCCGACTCAAAGAAAAACACATTTCTTCATTACAGGAGCAAAGACACACCCGTGTGGGAGGCCGTGTAATCGTCCGAGCCAAAAATGTGCTTAAGAAAACCCTAAAATTTCATTTTTCTTTCCTTCCTACTCCATTTTATTCAAGTATATACAAGTCCTAAATTCACCCACCATGTTTTGGTCAACCAAATCCATTAGCCACACCCATCCATACATAGATCTAACTAGATACAAAACTTCCAAAACTTAACAATTAATCACACAATTAACCATCACAATCAAACCATAGCAATTACCAATCATGGAACTACCTAACCAACATAATCAAGCCAACAAACACATCATAACATAAGCACAAGCTTAACCAATTACAATAACATCAATAGCATGGCATAAAGCACTAAAGAAACCCACTTACTTAGATAGACTTGATTAGGCTTTTTTGCTAGCTTTTTCCTTCCTTTTTCTTCTTTCTTTCTTTCCTCTCTTTCCTCTCTTTCTTTACCTTGTTTCTCTCCCTCTCAATGGCGTTTTTCTCTTCCTTCGGATGAGCTATGGGTTTCACTCCAAAAAAATGATTAAGTTTCATCTTTTCCTTATATATATACTCCATTTGCCTTTCTTATTAAGTATGCACATGTCCTAAATCAATTTGGCCAAGTATAAATTAAATGGGTGGTGATAGGTGCCGGGTTTGTGTGGCAAAAAATGGCCGAGTTGGCTTAATGCGTTTAATGAAGTTGCTAGGTGTCCTAACTAAGGAATTAGGCTAACTAAATACCCTAACTAACTTAGTTTCAAGTAATTAACATATTTTCCTTCATAAAATTTTGAAAATTTCCTTTCCTTTCCATTCTGCTATTTCCAAGAAAATATTCCAACATTCTCAAAATTTTATAAACACCCCTCTTTTTTTTTTTAACTTGTATAATATGTTCCAAGTACTTACAATAAGTGGTAATTAATTAATTTGTCTGAAACTTTACCTTAAAATTTCCACATAAGTGCTAAATATGTTATCCTCACCAAACAGCTTAAAATGACACATATAATTGCACTCGTACTTAATGTATATTTGCACGAATATTCGGCATATATATATAATTAAAAATGTTCGCAAGGGTTACAAATATGATAATTATTATCATTGAAAATATCAAAATATTTATCATTATCATGATATATTCAACTAATATATTAATTATATAATATAATTATATTAATAGTCATTTAATAATTATTATATTATAAAATGAACTATAAATCAATATCGTAAGTATTATTTGATTATATACGAAGATGATAATTATTATAATTGGAAAATATAATATTAAATATTTGCATTACTAGGAGATAATAATATTGATCAATAATATAATTTTATATATTATTTTATTGTTATTCAATATAATTTATAAAATTATTTACAATTATTTCTATATTAATATTATATTAAATAAATAACCTAGAATATTTAAAATATTTAAATATTTTTATTTTAACATAAATATTAAAATAATCTATTTATAAAATATTGTATTTTAATAATTAAAATATCTCATACGATATAAATTATTATAAACTATATAAAAACAATTGAATAATAGTGAATACCTATAAATAAAATTATTCAAATAATTATATTTTTAGTTAAATATATTATCTTAATAATAATTATAAAATAAAAATATTACATAAAATATTTATAAGATATACCATATCTTCTTAATAATATTATCATAAAATACTTATAAACCAATAAATATAAAATTAATATAAATTGAATAATAGTATAAAGATACAATATTTTAATCAATTAATTTCTATCAATTTTAGAATATTAATATTGAATTAATATTATCAACTTAAGATAATATATAAATAGCCCAAAATGTTAATATTATAGGTATAATATTTAGGTTATAATACATTTAACTTAATATAAAATCATATTTAAAATATATCAATCAATTTCTCTATAGTGATAATATTAACTGATAATTATTTAATCAATATTTTTTATATTATTTTACCATTTAAAATAATCTATTTGTTAATAACTATTTTATTTTACAATATATACCTAGTCTAAAAATTCATTTCAATTAATGATAATATTTAATAATATATTATTGGAAATTAACATATAAGTACAATAAATAATAATAATAATAAGAAATGAGTAATAGTGATAAACTAATAATATAATTAATATTGGTATTAATATATATCAATAATAATATTATACAAATATGAAAATAATTGTTTGATATTTCAAAAGTTATACTAAAAATATATTAATATTTCAATTATAACATTGGTCATAATAATTGTATTTATAAATATGATTATTATTACAATAATATAGATGACATTCACTATTTATTAGATTATATTATTATTTATAATATTTTAACTAATATAAATATATTAACTCGTTAGTCTATATTTAATAATATTTATAGGTTATAATAATGGTAATATAAATTTATAGTTGATAATGATTAATATTGTAGAGAAATTAATAGTTTTAATAATAGTTGATAATCTTTTAAATATATTTTTAAATATATTATTATACATATTTGAATTATATTATTTATCATAATATAACTATTTCATAAATAATATTAATAATATGATAAATATTTAAAATAGAACAATTATACAAATATAATAATATTTTGTATATTTAATTAGTTTATACATATGATTTTAAAATAAATAATTTATAACTTAAATACCAATAGTGGTGATTGATAACTAATCATTAATATTTTTTAAATATGGTACTTAAATTTATGATAATATGCAAGTTTAAATATCTTGTTATTCACATACAGTGATTATTCTATTATACTGTAATAATCAATAATCATATATTATATATATTAATTATAATATAAATTATTGCAAATATTTATATAATATTATTTAAAATATAACTAAATGGATAATCATAGATCTAATAGATAAAATAATATAGATAATTTAGATATCTATAGGTATTATACCAATATTAGATGAATTTTATATAATAATATTATTATTAATTTTTTATTAAATAATAATATTATTATACTAATTTACAAAGTTATATATTGAGAATATTGGTAATATAAAATATTATTTAAATATAGATAAAATCATAAATTTATGATAATAATTCATAAAATAGAAAATATAATATTAATCAATAATATAATTGTATATATTATTTTTTATTATTATTCAATATAATTTATAATTAGTATATCATAATATTTTAAAAATAATTTAAGTTATTTCCATAATATAAGATTAATTGATTTTTAATATATCTATAATGATTTATAATATTATTTTAATATTTATAATATATTGAATATTTTCATTTTAGAGTTTTAAATGTAGTGAATTTATAATCTAATAAAATATACAATATTGTTTATATAACTATATCTTAAAAAATTACCATAATCTCATAAAACATGTTTATTTAACTATATATAATTAAATTTACTATATTTAGCCAATTTCAATATTATTAGTTATTATTCTCATAGTATAGTATTCATGTTACTATATTATCAATAATTAAATGATTAATCAATTTTAAACTATATAATATATTAATCTTGAAATAATATATTTTTATTTATATTGAACCAAATACTATTTGATATTATTAAATATAATTATTGTTTAATATCATATGAAATTGGTCAAACTAACATATTATATTTTATTATTAAATAATATTATCAATATTTATTTTATAAATAATATATTTTATTTTAATAATACCAATTAAATATGATATTAAAAAATAATTTTATTTAATGAGATCAATATTATTATATGATTGTTATTAAAATTATTATTATACTAATATAATGTAATTTATTATTATCATTATTATTTATATTTATTATAAAAAATAAATAATAATATATTTATGAAAATTTCATGAATATATATTGAAAATATTAAATATATTAACATCTCATAAATCTATAATATAATTTAAGGAACTTATTTAAGTAATTGATTATAATTATTTGAAACATATATTATTACCTAGCTCAAATAAATAATATTATTGTAATCTAAATATTTATCGAATAGTATTGATTAATTATTGTTAGGAGATAATAGGTAATAGTTTTAAAAATATAATAATATTATACTCGAATACCACAATATATATATATATATATATATATATATTATAATATCATAATGACTAATTTAATTGAACTATATTATTCTATTTAATATATTATCTAATTATGATAATTTGGAAATTTATATTTATAATATTATCTTATTGGTTTAAAAATATTTTATTAAAATTTTAATCTTATATAGATAGTTGATATAATATTTATTTTAATATTATATCTATTATTGGTATAATTATATTGATAGTGAAATATTATAAATATGATATATTAGAATATTTAATATTAATTGTATTTATTATCTTTTTTAATTTAAATAAATCAAATATATTTTTAATTTTAAATCATAAACTTAAATATATTGATTTTAATTTTTTAAAAATACAATATTATTAAATTAACAAAATAATATTGATTATATACCTAATATCAACTATGATTATATAACTATATTTATATAGTTATTATAATTAAAATAATATATAGTATAATAAATATTATATTTATTTAATTTATATGGTTAGAATAATATTGTATACTATCAGTAATATTCATAGATTATTATCATATTAACTATCAAATATTATCAATAGGTTAATAATATAGTTATTGGATGTATAATGAAAACAATATAATAATAATAATAATAAATAAATAAATAATATCTTTTCATCGAGTATATTAATTATAGTATTTAAATATGAAAATATTATGATATTTATAAGATATTAATAATCTTAACATATATATAGTATACAATAAATTGATATATTTAATATTGATATATTAACTATAATTATTTATTATTTTCATACCTATAATATGTAATACCTATTATCAATTGATAATCAAACTATAGGTTTATATTGAATAATCTAGATATATTATGATAATATTAATAACTAATTATCAAAATATTTTATTGAATATATAATCAAATATTATTAATTATCATACTAAATTATACTATTATCTTAAATGATATGATATTTAGGTTATCAATATAAACAAATTAATTGTTTTAGATAATTTGAGTATTTTAGATTATTCATTTAAATCTTATTGATTAAACTTTAAAAATTAATCTGTTTCAATTTTATCATCTAAGATAAAATACCATATGATTATTAACCAGATTAATTATCCATTTTTCTTGAAATAAATATAATCTTCCCAGTCCTAAGCTCTCTTAAATTATCACTACTAACTCTAGCTTTCTCCATTATTGTTTCTCCATATTCTAATTCTATATGGTTCATCTCTTCTACCTCCTCTAGTAGTGCAAATTTATTAGCAATTGCCATGCTAAAATCATTTGGAAGTCTAGCCTTTATCTTATCTATAGATTTTATAGCTTTGCCTCCCTTATCACCCTCTATAAACACCACTTATATGTTCAACCCTATCATCAACATACCCTTACTTTTCTATAGTAGATTCCCCTCTCTCTATGACCCTAACTAGATTATTGTTAGGCCCTTTGAGCTTGCTCTCCATGGTTGAGGTAGCAGAATGCTTTTTGCCTTGAACACCGTAGCCATTAATCCTTCTCCTTCTCATCTCTATTTGCATTATTTCCCATGCCAAGCTACCAACCTTTAATCATCATCCTCCCTCCCATAACTCTAACAGTACTCTATTTTTCTTATGGCATGCCTCTTCGGTATGGCCTATAAGGCTACATACATTGTAATAAATTAAATTATCCTCAAACTCTATCCTTTGCCAAAAACCTTACTCCTTAAAGCTATCCACCCAAATTCTATTATGCAAAGGTTTTGAAACATCTACTTCCATGCAAATTCTAACATACATAGGATGAGTTAAAGCCATAGTCCTTTCATCGACCCTTAAACCCCCCTAATGCCTTCTTCTATTTGTTTCGGGTATGCTAGATTAAAATATAGCAAAGGAGGTTGAGGCAATCTCACCCAAGTCGAGATGAGAGAGATGTCTCTAAGGAATTAGAAATTAGCATCCCACTAAAATACCTTATACATATAGTTCATGATCTTGTGATCTTCCCTAGATAATGCACGATGTAAATCTTCCTCTAAATCTAGCTTTACCATGACATAGCTTAGGTCCAAAAGTCCAATCACGAGTTCACCATTAAGCTTTCACAAATGCTGTACGTGCGGAAGAATATCATAAACTACGGGCCTCCCCATTGAAAACTTCAAAATAATGGTATTCTTAAATTATGCGAGCAATCGTCTCTAACTCTATGACGAGAGAATAGACATGTAGGCTACGAGTTAATGAAAGTTGGTTGCCTTAGGACAAGATGAATATCTTTCATGGGATATGATTTATGAGCAGTTGGTATAGTTTGGTGATCTTTGGTAGCTGAAGTAGCCTTAGCATAAGATAAGCCTATAGGTTTGTTCAATTGATTTGACTTCTATGAAATCATATTCTAACTCATGGGTTTACTCGACTTACTTCCACTTGCCTCCATATTCCGATCGGTTGTGACTTCCACCGACTGTGCATCCCCGCCACTCTGCTCCAACTGACCAACATCACTTTATGGCACTAGTGTTTATGTTTGTCTACCGGACGCAACAACTTTGAGCGACGATGGTGGCCGAGCCACCATGGCCAAATGCTAATCTTTTTCTTCGTCTTCTTCCCGAGGTCCGTGTTTTACTCCTAAATTTTCAAAGTCGGGGTTTTCGGGCTCCCCACGATTAACATATATTAATATATGTTATTTGTAATATTATTAGGTTAAATAAAAATATTTTAAATAAAAATATTATTATTTAAACATATTAATTTATTACAAATATATTATATAAAATATTAATGACTAAAAATCTAGATATTATTATCAAATTACTAACTATTTCAATTTTACCGATTATAAAATATTATGATAATAATTATTATCTTAGAATATTTAATTGAAAATCCAAAAAATAAATAAGGTTAATTATTCCCTTAAAATATTTATTATAATGTTTATATATTTATATATATTATAGTATTTTTAAAAATATATTACAATTTCATTAATATTACTTAGTAATATTATACGGTAATAATATAATTTTTCATACTAATTATCCTAATCGATATAATATTTTAGATAAATATAATTTATGATTAGGGGTGTTCACTATTCGGTGAAAACTGAAAAATCGAACCAAACCATATAAAAATATCAATTTCGATGCGTTTTTCTAAAAAAAATTTAAAAACCAAATCGATATATATTTGATTTTCAGTTTTGATTTTATTTTTTTAAAACCAATTAACTCGAATAACCAAATTATTAAAAACAAATTAAATTCATGAGTGAAACGACTTCATTTCACTCCTTTTTGAATTCACAAACCTAAAATCGGTGTTGTTCGTGTTCCTCTTTGGCTCTTCGTCTTCCTCGCTTCCTCGGACCTCATTTCTTTGTTCTTACTTCCTTGATCCTCCTTACTCCTCGATCCTGTCCGGTCTCCTCTAAACCTCTGCTCCTCACTTTCGGACGGTCGGACCTCGTGCCCTCGGCCCCTCACGATGGAGTCACGCCTCACCTAGTCCGAGTTACCTTCACGGACTCACCTCACTCTCACGACCTCACTCCCTTATGGCTTTAGCTGAACCTAAATTTCCCTCACCCCACACGACCACACTAGAAATTCAAAGACCGAAGTCCAAACTCCAAACCTAAAATCACCCGCAAATTCCCAATTCCAAAATGTAAATCATAGTAAGGAAAATCGAACCTCCTCTTCGACTCTTTCGATTTACTCGCACTCTTCAAGTAAGTAACCATACTCTTATTCTCTCTCTCGCTCTATATACTTGCTAGTGCTTTATCTTTGTTCTATTAAGACTTAAGTGTTAACTATTATGGACTTATGGTTGAAACTTAAGCTAGTAGCGAGGAGGAGCTGAAATAATTATGAATTGTTTAATTTATGTTGCAATAGCCAATAGGAGCTTGGGCCAGCCAGCTAGCACTCTAGTAGCTAATGGCCATTACCCACTAGCCAATAGCGGCCGAGTGGGCATTGCCTAGCTATTGCCCACAAGCCACCGGGCACCGGCCGGTGGACACTACCCATTGTTTTAACTTTAAAACTTTTAATAATTATAGCCTATAGACTTATATTTAATAATCATTTCTAATCAAATATATTCTTAAATTTGTGTAGATATTGGGATCCTTAAATGTCAATGCTGAAGTTACGAGTTCAACCTATTTAGAACCAAGACCAGCAGCGAGATACAATTGCTTGCTAGCTCTTCATCAAAAACTCAATTGAGCACAAAGATGAAGAGAAGATTAATGAGGCTAAGATCGGTTGTATCGGACCATTTTACTAAGTTTGAAGATGAAAATAAAGACATCAAGGGGACATGTAATTACTCGTAATAAGGTACTTACTACTCATCCTACTAGAAATGGTACTACTACACTTAAATCTCATATGGTCATATACAAAAAACACTCATATATGCTTGACCCTAACCAACCGAATTGAACCTTCGATCTAATTCAAGTGTTCAAGGGGAGAAAACACTCTTAGCATATGGAAGTTTAATCAAAATTACATTAGAAATGCTTTAACTTACATGATTGTTGTGGATGAACTTCCTTTCAAATTCATAGAAAATGTGGGGTTTAAGTGGTTTATGTCATTGCACAACCTAGGTTTAAAATTTCATCACGGATTACCATTTCAAGAGATTGCCATCAACTTTATATGTATGAAAAATTAAAGTTGAAGCAATTTTTGAACAATAATTGTCATAGAATTTGTCTTACTTGTATACACATGGACGTCTATTCAAAGAATTATTTATATGTGTCTAAAAGGTCATTTTATTGACAATGATTGAAAGTTACATAAAAAGATTTTGAATTTTTTCCCAATTGATGGTCATAAAGATATTGATTTGGACAATGCTATTAAAAAGTGTTTGATTGATTGGGGAATTGAAAAGGTTTTCACTATTACTGTAGACAATGCAAGTTTAAACGATGTGACGATTAGATATTTGAGAGATTTTTTTAATAATTGGGATCATAGCATCTTAGATGGAGAATTACTTCATATGAGGTGTATAGCTCATATTTTGAATCTTGTTATTTTTGATGGATTAAAAAATGCAAATCCTTCATGTTTAAGTAGTCTGTGAGGTATATTAGACAATCTCCTGCTAGGTTGAGAAAATTTAAAAAATGCATAGAGATTGAAAAGATTGATTCCAAAAGTTTATTACATCTAGATGTTTCAACTAGATGGAATTCAACTTATTTGATGTTAGATTCAGCTCAAAAGTTTAAGAGAGATTTTAAGAGATATGAGCAAATTGATCGGTTATATACTATTGAACTTAATGTGGATCTTGGTGATGGGGTATTTGGGTCACCCGAGTGTCGGAGATTGGAGGAATTGTAGTAAGATGGTGAAAATATTGAAAAATTTATATGACCTTACTTTGTCTATTTCAAGTCATTCATATGTCACCTCTAATAATTATTTTGATGAAATTTCTACGCTTGAAGCTGATTTGAGAGAATGGCAAGAGTGTGTCGATGATGATACTTTTTTATTGGCTAGTAAAATAAAAGAAAAGTTTGATAAGTAATAGGGGGTATGAAGAAAATGAATAAGTTGATTTATATTGGAGTCATAATGAAACACATAAACTTGTTTATGTTGCATTTACATTAAATGAATTGCGTGGTGATTAGCTTGGAGAAAAGATGATAAATGATGTGAGAGAATCTACATATGCCTCATATGCCTCATATTGCAATTTATCGCAAAAACAAGGTCTTAGTGGTCAAAGTAGTGGGATACGGAAGTTTCAAGTGTAAGTGATGTAACGGATGCCATGAAGAAAAAAACAAGAAACTTGCAAGTATGTCACGATTTCAACAATTCAATGAAAGTGAAGATGAAGATAAAAGATTAGAGTTGGATAAGTATCTTCATGAATCGTCGAAATTGGGGATGAAAATTTTGATATTTTGGAGTGGTGGAAAAACAATTCTCTTCAATTTCCTATCCATTCACATATGGCTTATGATGTGTTGGCAATTCTAATATCTATCGTTCATTCAAAATCGGCATTTAGCACTAGAGAAAGAGTTCTTGATGCCTCTAGGAGTTCTTTATCTCCTAGCATTGTGCAAGCTCTTGTATGTGCTTAAGATTGGCTTTGAAATTCGATTCCAATTACTACGGAAGAAGATTTACAAGATGTTGAGAAACTTGAAATTGATAAGTTTTTAAATTCTTATATTTTCATTTGTCCTTTTTCCTTCCAAATTAATATTAAAAGACTTAAAGTGTTGATTTTTTTAGGTTTATTAAAACTTTTAACGGATGAACCTATGATAGATATATGATGAATGAATGGTGGTTTGATCTTTTGATTGACATGGGTAAACTTCTAATGAATTATCTTTGTGTGTGTCCATGTAAGTTTGTAAATGTTTTTATATTTTATAAAATTAACATTTTCTTTTCTTTTCTTTGCAGGATTTGTCATTTGGTGAACCTTTTGCTTGAACTTGTCTATTTGTGGTTATGGATTGTGGTGGTTATGACTTGTGGGAGTTTTTTTGAACTATTTTACTTAGCAAGTTATTAGTGACTTAGCTTTGTATTATTGGCTTCTTGTTGCTTGCTTTCTTATCATCGGCTTGTTGCTTTTACTTTGTTAAATTACCGATGTTACTTGATAATTTGAGAATGTTGAATTATTATTTTTTATTTTTTGAATACTTGAAATTGAATTGTTGTTTGACATTCTTGTTTTTTCATTATTGAAGTGTAGAGAATAGTGACATAGCATTGTAGCCTACTTGAAATTTGGATGGGGTCTATGGGTTCTTATAACTTGTTGTTAAAAAGGTTGATCTTTGAGTGAACGTTGAGATCACGAAATCAATGAATTCTAATTAAGTTATTGACCAAATCAACATATGATATTGAGTATTAATTACGGATGAAAACCGAATTGCCGAATACCAAAATCGGTACATTTCGAAACCGAATTGAAAAATCGAATAATAATTCGGTTCGGTTTTGGTTTTTTTTTTTTTTTTGGATAATTCGGTTAATCGAAAACCGATAAAAAAATTTCAAAATCGAACCGAATAACCAAACGAACACCCCTATTTATGATAGTATATTTATTAATTTTTTCAATATATTTATAATCAATATTATCAAAATAATAATTTATCAAAATATTATTAAAATAAATATAGATAAAAATGTATTGAAATATAATCAAAATATAGTATATAATTAATAAATATATTAGATCATAACGATTTAAAAGAATAATAATCAAACCTAAAAGAAGAAGAATAAATACTATTAACGATATAATTAATTAATTATATATATATATATATATATATATATATATATATATATATATATATATAATTTTAAAATAATAGAATAATAATTATAATATCTTATTGTATTAACAAATGGAATAGTTATTTATTTAAATAATCATTGTTATAAATACTAAGATAATAAAATTTGATCAAATAATATTTGGATAATTTGGAAATAATATTTATTCTATACAAATTTAATAAAACTTAGTATCATAAACATATTATTAAATATTCTATTTAATTTAATATTATAGGAATATATATCTATTTTAATATTGATCAATAATATAATTTTATTTTATTATTATTAACAATAATATAATAATATTCAAAATATAATAACCAAATATTATTTTAACAATATAGTTATTAACAAATAGATTATTTTAAATGGTAAAATAATATAAAAAATATTTCTTAAATAATTATCAATATTTAATTTATCTTTATAGTTAATAATTGATCTATAAATATTTTAATGATCTATTTAATAAAATATTAAATATTGAAGATAGATTTGAACCAAATATTATATATTATTGATATTATTAGCTATAAATGATACTATTGGACTAATATTAATATCAAGTGTATATATATATATTCAAAAGTAATATCTTATATTATCTAATTTTTAATATTACGATAATTAGTTGATATTTTTGGTAAAATCTATATTACATATAAAATGCCAAATAATATAATAGAATCAATTAATCTTATATTTAAGTTGACAATCTAGGCCTCAAATTACTAACTAATAATTTATATTGATTATCAATATTCTTGAATATATTATTTAATAAATAGAATATTAAAGATATAATAATATGGCCAAATATAATTTGGTAACTCATAAATATTGTGTGATTATAGATACATTAATTGGATTATTAGTTATTATTGTTATGATAAATTATTATTGTATATTATTTATTTCGTACGATTATTTTAAGATTATGGTAATAAATAGATTTTATTAAAATCAATTATTTGTTAGATATAAAATATGAATATCTTATAAATAATATATGATTAAAATATTTGCCTGGATTATAGTAATAACTAATTTGGCTATTATGATATTATTATAAATTAAACCATATATTTTATTTATGAGTAATATTTATTATATTTAACAAAATATATTTGGTTCATATAATAATTTTATTTGGGTTACAATAATTATAGTTGAAAAATTATAAATTGATTATAATTTATTAATATTTTAATTAGGTATTTATAAACCTATCAATAATTATATACAAATATTTATGTGTTAAGAATAAATAAATTCTAAGACAAATAATATTCATATTGATAATATATTTATTATATTCAAATATTTGACATCATAATAATTCTATTTAAATATTTTAATCATTAATATTGTCAATATTTTTATTATCGATAATGTAAATTAATATGATAATTAATTATATGTTAAAAATTGATTATGATATTATTTCATATAAAACAAATATGCATATAATATTAAATAATTATTTGGTTGATGGCTATAATTTTGATTAAAATATTGATAATATTAATTGTTAAAAGATTAAATAAATCATATATTAATAAATATTATATTATTATACCAATATATTTAAAATAATATTTAACTAATAATATTATAATATTAATTTAATTATGTTGTATAATTATCAAATATATTATATTATTGAAATG